GTTTATATTGTGGTTAAATTTGGGAGTGTTTGGGTTAGTGGTTGTCTGGGAATTTGAAGCCAAAGTTGGGGTTTAGGTGTGAGGGTTAATTAAGTTGGGATTGTGGAGTGAAATTTAATCCAAATTTGGAAAAAAAATTTTGGTAAATTTTGGATTATTAATAAAACTAGTGTTTTGTTTTGTGGTTTATTATATGTGTAAATAAGCTGCTAGCAAGATTTTTAAACAATTTTTGTTTTTTGATGAACAATGTGATGTGATTTTACAACAACCTTTGGTGTTAGGTGATTGGTGAAAATTTTAAGTAAATTTGAATTTAAAGATTTTTTTTTTGAAAATTGTGCAAATTGGTTGCCAAAAGTCTGCTTCATCATGTGAATTACTATATTGTGTGAATAAGTTCTAAATGACCAAAAATTTTTTAACATTTAAGTGGATACAGTTATTTTCATCAATTCGGTGGTAAATATTATTATTATTATTTATTAATTAATATTATGGTAAGTTGTATAAATTATTTTATTTTGTGGATAGATAGATAGATATATTGTTTTATATTGTACAAATTGATACCTAAAAGTCTAATTTAACATTTCTTTTGACTTATCATATAAAAAAGTGGATGGATCCTCAGATTTTTCAAAGAAAGCCTTATAATTTGTATAATTACGATTTTGGGTGAAAATTTTAAGTAAATTCGAATTTGAAGAATTTTTTTTTTAAAAATTGTGGAAATTGTTTTCCAAAAGTCTGTTTCATCATGTGAATTCTTGTATTGTGTAAATAAGTGATTGGATTACCAAAATTTTGGAATAAAAACTCCTAATTTATATGCTTTTAAATGGATATTGTTCTTTTGATCAATTTGGTGGTAAATATTGTGGTAAGTTGTATAAATTTTTTTTTATGTGGATAGATAGATAGACGTTATTGTTTTATATTGTACAAATTGATATCTAAGGGTCTAATTTATCATTTTTTTTGTCATGTCACATAAAAAAGTGGATGGATGCCCAGAATTTTCAAAGAAAATCTAATAATTTGTCTGGTTACGACTTTGATTTTAAAATAGTAAAATTTTTAATAAAATTCGAAAAAAATGTGGCTGAAATTATAATGTATATAAAATATAATTCCCAAAAGTCTATTTGACTATTTACTATATAATACTAAGTGAAATTTTTGGAAGAATTTAATATTTTATACATCAACTTCACAATTTATGTTCTGTGGTAAATCTTGTGGTTTTATAATTACAATTTTTGGTTTTTTATGAAAGTTTTATAAAAATTTGACTAAAATTAGGTTGTAGGTTTTGAAAATTGGTACACGAGGGTCAAATTTATCCAAATTTAATCTAAATACTGTTTCAAAATGTAGAAATTGGTACCTAAAAGTTGGTTATTATGTTCAAAATTTGGAATCCAGTAAAATAATAAAAATACAATATATAAATATAATTAATATATATATATTATATATATATATATATATTTATATATATATATAAAGAATATACATAATTTTCTTCTTCAGTTCTAAGTTATTTTTTTTATTTTATTGGTTTGGGGTTTTTTATTAAACAATGTCTTTAAAAATTTTGTATTGTGTTCTTTTTTCTGGATTTGATATGTATTAATATTTTTTATATTTGTCATATCTTTTAGTAATTTTGTAATTTTTTCTTTAAACTTTGTCAAATATTTTTTTAGAATTTATCAAACACGCTAAATGATGACACACACAGTGTCGAAACGTACATAATACATACACACATATATATATATATATATATATATATATATATATATATATATATATATATATATATATGAGTGAGTTCTTGAGGGCGATACATCAAACAAAGAGAAGCCAAAGATTTATAAAATAATCTTTATTTCCAAACGTTTCGACATTCAATTTAATGTCATCATCAGTGACATTAAATTGAATGTCGAAACGTTTGGAAATAAAGATTATTTTATAAATCTTTGGCTTCTCTTTGTTTGATGTATCGCCCTCAAGAACTCACTCATATATTTCAACATCAAAATTAACTACTAAATCATATATATATATATATATATATATATATATATATATATATATATATTATGTTAATAGATATTCTGAATTACCAATTTTAAATTCAATTTATTGATCGATTTTTTCAAGATCATAATTTGATTTTACAGAAATTAAAGAAGAAAAAAATATAATAATTATACATAATAAAAAAATAATTAATCTTCAAATAATAATAAAAAAAAATATTTTTACTAAAAATTAGTCAAAATATTTATTACTTCATATTTTGACTGTTAAATTTAATAGAACAAACAATATATATTTTTTTTATAACTAACAGTTTTATTTTCTCAATTAGTAAGAAATTAGGAAAATAAAAGTGCTACTTATAGAAAATTTTGCTATTATTTTTACGATTTTTTAATGTTATTTTCGAACAATTTTTTGTTATTGTGAACATATATTATTAGTTGTAAAATAAATTGCCAAAAGAGGAAGTTCAAGAAGTAATTATCACAATTTTAATAAAAACATTAAATATGTTTTGTTAATGTATATAAATTAGACACAAAGCTGTTTTTATGTTTTCTTAGTCAAATATAAAAAAAATTTAGCACTTTATTCAAATTAACAAGCAGATATTTCGTTCTGTTCTCTTTGAATGCTATATTTGAGTAGACTGAGATGCTGTAGGGTATTATAATATTAGACAATATTATATCTCATTGAATTCTGTAAAAAATTGTTGAATATATTATTTATTTTAAATGAACGGTTTCAAAGTTACAAGAGATATTATAAATAAATGCGCCAATGAATTATACTGAGACTGTATCACTTTTCAATTGCGATTTTAAAGTATACCGAGTTGCTGTAGAGCATTGTGATGTTAGAAAATATTATAGACAATTTAGTTTTAAACATATTTGCAGAATATTTTATTAACATTAGACAAACCGTTTAAAAGTTACAAGAGATAAGAAATACATGCATACAGTTGCAATCGCCATATTGTATGTTAAATCTATGAAACACGTGCAACGTAGCTGCTACGTACCCAACCGTAAAAAACTTACAAAAAACTCTCTTTTTTTTTTTATTAAATTATACAAATTATAATACAATTGCCATTACAATTTATTTTGCACGTGATTAACATCATTCCACAAATCTCTCTTCTTTATTTTTTTGTCCCTAACCTAAAAAACGAGTCACTTCAAACTGTCAAATGTTTTTTCACAACTCAAATTATATAATCTCGGCGATAATATGTATAATTTAAAACCATCCAAACGACATTTGACGGATTGACCTGCTTATTACGAGAAATTATATTCGACTTGTTACTTTTTTTTTACTTCTTGGTCGATGAAGTTCCGTTTGTCGAACCAGGGCAGAATCGAAAATCGACAACACTATAAAAGATAGTAGAAATTGTGTTTTTGGTTGTTGTATCTCTTGTAACTTTTAAACGGTTTGTCCGATTTGAATGAAATATTAGACAAATCTTAACAGAATTAAATAATCTATAATTTTTTCTAACATTATAAAACCCTACAGCAACTCGGTATACTTTAAAATTGCACCTAAATACAAACAATTAATGCAAGGGTTGATTGAGACTTGAGTTGCACCTGATTCGTGTATTTATTTATTATATCTCTTGTAACTTTTAAACAATTCATCTAATCCAAATGAAATATTACACAAATTTGTACAAAATTAAATTCTTCATAATATTTAGTAAATTTCTTTGCACTTAGAACGCAACCCAATGGTTGGCTTTAAATTTTACCCACATGTTTGTATCACATTAGAATGTCTTTAACATGAAATCTAGTGTATGACTTTTTAAATTATAATTTAAAAACAAGTTTTGGATTCAGTCAGTCAGTCAGTCAATCACCTAATGTTTTTTTTATATATATAATTTAATTTTTTTATTAAATAAAAACAGTTATGGAGAAGATTTGTACAAAACTGGTATTTGTGTGAATTATTATATTCTCATATCGAATATATATATTAGTAACTGTTTGTTAAATATTTAAACAAATTTTTTGACTTACTTAAATTCTAAAATGTTAATTATTATTTATAAATTTAGATAATTTATAAATGAGATAAAAATAAATCCACCAAATTTCTTCGAGCATTTTTATGCAATTTAATATAATTTCCGAATTTATTGCATTAAAAAATTACTTTTATTTTGAAGATTTCAAAATTTTTCCACAAAAAATCGTGTAATATAAATTATTTATTATATTATAATATTTTTACTAATATCATTTATTTTTAATTGGGAACATAATATTTATATTTTTATATTTATATTTATATTTATATTTATATTTTTATATATTTATATTTATATTTTTATATATTTATATTTATATTTTTATATATTTATATTTATATTTTTATTTTTATATTTATATTTGTATTCATATTTTTATATTTATATTTGTATTTATATTTTTATATTTATATTTATATTTATATTTATATTTATTTATAAAAAATTACTTTTATTTTGAAAGTTTCATAATTTAGTGACAAGAAATTATCATTATTATTATTATTATTATTTATTACTATTATCATTTATTTTTAATTTGGAATTCGAGTATTAATTCAAATTTAAATACATTTTCTTCTATTTTTTGTACCATATGTATAATTTAACTAATTTATTGAATAATTTTCGAATAAATAAAATCTGGAAACATTTTATGCCTGAGCTGCATCTTTTTTAAAAAATATTTAGATTTTTAATTTAAATTTAAATTTTATATTTAAATTTTAACCCAAACTTTTTATTTTATTTTTGCAAGATATACACAATGTTTAAAATTACATTTTTTTGCAAAATATTTTTAGTAGTACCATTATTATACTTTAATTTATCTGTAAATGTTAAAAATTCTAGGTTAAAATTAAAATTATTATTAATTTTTAATATTTTTCAGATGGCATGAACCTTGTCTTGAAGAACCTCATTCTTCGATTGACACCAGGTTTGTTTTATTTTTTTAATTAAAAATTAACTAAATAAAAAATTCAACTAATTATTAACTTAACAAATTATTTACATATTAAACTAATAGTGTATGTATTTTTTAAAATTATTTGTTAACTAAATACTCAAATTTTCATTATTTCAAATTTATATTATTAATTAAAGAAAATATGGAAAAATAATATGGACCAGCTGATTTTTTTTTTATTTTTAAATTTTAACCTAAACTTTTCATTTTATTTTTGCACAAGCTAAAGCAATATGTTGTTTATTATGTAATTAGTATTGTTTTTTATGTTTATCAATATTTTTTATATTTTTTTTAGTGATTTAAGACATAAATAAGATATGAAAAATTAATATGCACCAGCTGATTTTTTTTTAATTTTTAAATTTATAAACTAAACCTTTTATTTTATTTTTGCACAAGCTAAAAAAAATAGGTTTTTTATTGTTTATTCAGTATTATTTATTATGTTTTTTTAACATTTTTAATATTTTTTAGTGATTTAAGACTGTCGGCTTCAGATCTTCTATATGGATTTACCCGAATACAACCTTGCAGTATTAGAAGATCTTTTAGTGTTATACGTAAGTATATTTTATTTAATACATTATATATATTTATGAAACTAGGATATTTGAAAACTAGATTAAATTCTTCAAATATTTTGCTAATATTATTTTTGGCTAATTTGCACTGAAAAAGAAATGCAAGCTTTAGAAGTTCTGAAAATGATTCAAGATGATCAATAAGAGCATTTGTTCACTTTTTCAAATTTCACTTTTTCAGTAAAACTTCTTTTAAAAATTTGTCTAATATATAAAATTTACATAAAAATCTTCAAAAATTTCGTTAATATTGTTTTAGTCCAAACTCTTCAGAAAAAGAATTAAAGTCTAAGAATTTTTAAAAGCCATTATATATTTGCATGTTTTCATAATAAACCAACAGGGTTTTTTATAGTTTTGGGCACTTGACTATCGTTGAGATAAACATAAAGCAAAATATTATACATAGTTAGAAAGCTTATTAAATTTAGAAAAAACTTTACAAAGACTATTTTCATAAACAAAATACAGAAAAAGAGCTAGAAGCCTCAGAATCATCAAAAAGCTATTTTCAATATGCACATTTTATAAAAGTGTCTATAGTGATAAGGATGCACTTTTCTTAGTTTTTGGACTTGACTGTCTTTAGGATAAACTTTGTACAAAACATTATATTTAGTTAGAAAGCCTATAAAATTTAGGAAAAACTTTACTAAGACAATTTTTACATCCAACTTATAGAAACAGTACTATAAATCTGAGAAACAATAAAATATAAATTGCATATACATATATATTTTTCAAAAGTGCATAGGGTGAACATGATGCACTTTTTTGGTTTTTTATATTTTTTAAAACATTATACACAGTTAGAAAGCTTATAAAATCAAGAAAAAAAACTATACTAAGACATTTTTACATACGGAATTTCAAAAAAGTACTATAAGCCTAAGAATTAGCAAAGCAAATATATATTTGTTAGTATCCATAGTAAATCAGGTGACCCTTACTCAGTTTTTTGACCTTCACTGCTTTTGGGATAAACATAAAGCAAAATATTGTACACAGTTAGAAAGCTCATAAAATTTATGAAAAACTTTGAAAAGACTATTTTTACATCCAACTCATAGAAAAAGTTCTGAGAATTAGCAAAGCAAATATATATTTGTTAAAAGTGTCCATAGTAAATCAGGTGACCTTCCCTAAATTTTTTGACCTTCACTGCTTTTGGGATAAACATAAAGCAAAACACTATAAACAGTTAAAAAGCTTATAAAATTTAGAAAAAACTTTACTAAAAACATTTTTCCATACAGAATATAGAAAAACAGCTATAAGTAGTATATAATACTATGTTCAGAAAACATCGACTTGTATTGATTAGGTTTTTTGCAATTACATACATTTTCATGCAGATTTTATGAAAATTTCTCGACTTGATTCGATTCTATCAATTAGTTAAGCAAATTGAAGATTAAATCGTAGATAAATTTTATTTAATAGAAGCAAGTTGGAATTAAATAATCAATGTTGAATAAATTTACTGGGCTGGATTAGGGATATTTATACACGGAGGATTTCAAATGATGAAAACAAATCTAAAGGGTCAGAATTCTATTCTTTAGGTAAAATAATAGTTTGTTTCTTAGTACCAAAAGAATTATTTAAGCCAATACTATGTTTGCTACGTAAATAAAACAAAAAATTGTCTCAAATTGTTTGTATCTTATTAAAATGTTGCAAATTGTCTCAAAATGTTGAAAATTGTCTTGAAATGTTGAGAATCAGCATAACTGTATGTCTCAAAACCAACGAAACAAGTAGTTACCAAAGTTCAACAATTATTTTAAAAATGTTTTCAAATATAAATATTAATATAAATATAGAATATTAATATAAATATAAATATAGAATATAAATATGAATATAAATGCAAAATATAAATATGAATATAAATGCAGAACATAAATATGAATATTTTGCATTTATATGAATGCAAAATATAAATATAAATGCAAAATATAAATATCAATATAAATATAAATATATAAATATATAAATATATAAATTATAAATATATAAATATACAAATATAAATATATAAATATTAATATAAATAAAAAAAATAGATACATATTGATACATAATTGTTAATGTCAATTTTAATTTTAAAAACTATAAAACAAAACCCCGAGTTTATTCTATTCCGAACAATTTTAATTAATTAATTTCAAATATTTAATTATTTCTTAGTTAAATGAAATATGATTGCTAAAAGCTGAGCACGCCTATCGATTTGTTATTTAGAAGTGTCCTTTGTTTACTTACAAATTTTTGGCAAATTTTCCGATATAGAAAAAACTCTCTCACTTGCAACCGAACTAAAGTGTTATATAATAATTCTGGAAATTTTGTTCTTTTATTTGTGGCTTTTAGGGCTAAAAACTCTTTTCTTAAATTTGAGTAGAGCAATGCACTCTAAAAACAGTTTTTTTCGCTAAAACACCGGTTTTCGAATTTCATAATTTTCGTCAAAAAACCGGTTTTTGAAAACCGACAAACCCTACTCACAACCAACAAAACAAATAGTTACCAAAGTTTAACAGTTATTTTAAAAATGTTACCAACAACTTATAATATATAAAATTTTTTTATTACATCAATTACAATGTCTATTTTTATTTTTCCAGATCACAACAAACGATTTGAACCAGGTTCGTCCGATTTTCGACCTTATTCGAGTCTACCACACGGCTATGATGTTAACAAAAGTGCTTTTTTGAGATCACTGAGCGAACGCAAAACGAAAAAATCGACTGAAAATAATAGCAAAAACGATAAAAATTCGCCAGAGAACGATAAAAATTTGCCAGAAAACGATACGAATTTGCAAAAAAACGATAACAAGGACCAAAAAATTGACGAAAATAATAAAAATTCGCCAGAAATCGATACGAATTTACAAGAAAACGTTAGCAAGATCGAAAAAATTGACAAAAATAATACAAACGATAAAAATTCGCCAGAAATTGATACAAATTTGCAAGAAAACGATAGCAAGGACGAAAAAATTGGCGAAAATAATAAAGACGATAAAAATTCGCCAGGAAACGATTCGAGTTTACAAAGAAACGATAGCAAGATCGAAAAAATTGACGAAAGTAATAAAAACGATAAAAATTCGCCAGGAATTGATACAAATTTACAAGAAAACTACAGCAAGACCGAAAAAAATGACGAAAATGTTGACCAGGGGTCGAAAAACCCAGAAATTGACCACCAGAACGAAGCTGGTGAAATTTTAGAAGTTGAACAATGTGATAAAAACGATTTGGCTTTTGATAAAAATAGTGTTAAGGACAAGCAAGACAAGAAACAGAACCCTAAGGCTCAAAAAATTAAACCAGAGCCTAAAACCAACAAAGTTGTGCCCAAAATTGATGAACCAACCACCAAACCAGCTCCGAAATCCAAGGCGAGCAAAAGAAGCGCTCGTCGAAGACGTTTTAATTCTTTAAGCCCTACAAGATCTGACAACCTCAAAAAACATGTCCAGAACAGAAAAAAGGGCTCCAAAACACGCTACACGTCCTTGTCAGACCCTAACAAAGAAATCCTTCAAATGCCCAACGATGAGATACCTAAAGACCTAAAAATCGGAGGCGAGGATGATGTAGACAACATGCCCAAATGGGCTAAAGTCATCTTAAAAAAAAATTTAGTCCTTGACTCAGACTGCCCTTCGTCCTCTGATGAACTCACCATGAACAAAAACAAACCAGAAGACACCACCAAAGACCAACCATATGAATCTGATGAAAATTCTGGTCCTGGTAAACCAACTGATACCATCCCTAAGTCCTTTATTACTAGTGAGTCTGATGACAGTTGTGGTGGAGGACAAATCAAGTCCTCCAGGAAGAGATTTGGTGGTTTTTTGGATGTTGCCAGATGTGATGATGGTGTTGACAGTGACCAGAGTAACGCAGGGAATTTGAATTTTGCTTCGGAGAGCCTGGAGGATCTTCCTTATTCGGCTATGGAGCTTCTAGATGATGGCAGGGTTGATGGGATTAGGGCCAGGAAGGTTAGGGTTAGGAATGCTGAACGAATCACAGGTGAGATAAATGATTATTGATTGTTATTTGATTTTTTCCACTAAGAATTTGACAAATATCAGCTTTTGGAGGTAAATTGGAAGTAAATTGATGTTTTTGGAACATCTGTCAGTAGATTTTTAAGGATTTGCTGGCCAAGTTTAATTATTTTTTACCAGGGGTTTTATTTGGTTGGTTTTCCAAAGTTTGTATTTTTGCTAGAAAGTTAGATTTGTTGATTTTATGTCAAGTTATTCTGAATCCTTTAGTACCTGAATGATCTGGACTTCCATTGACGTTTTCTCACAAATGGTTGAACCGATTGCAAAAATTCAAATGCCATTTGATGAAGAACACGCCTTGGTTTGTTTTGCACATATTTTCTCGACGTTTATAGTCAATCTGAATCTTTTGCTATCAAAATTGATAAAAGTTACATCGTGGTGTTGCAATTTTAAGTTGTCATTTAATTTTTTTTGCTCAGAATTTAATATTTTTACCATTTGGAGGTAAATTGATGTTTTAAGGACATCTGTCAGTGGAATTTTAAGGTTGTTACCAAGTTCAATTATATTTGGACCAGAGAATTTACTTCTTGGTTTTCTAAAGTTTGTGTTTTTGCTAGAAAATTCGATTTGCTGATTTTTTCTCAAGTTATTCTGAATCGTTTGGTACCACAATTGATAAAAGTATGTGTGTGCCAAAGTCTGGACTTCCATTGATGTTTTCTCAAAAACGGTTGAACCGATTTAAAATATTTAAATGCCATTTGATAAAGGTCATGTCTTGGTTTATTTTGTTCGTATTTTTTTGACCTTTATAGTCATTCTGAATCTTTTGGCACTAATATTAGAAACAGTTTGTGGGCGTGCCAATACGAAAGCTTATGTTGACGTATCCTCAAAAACGGCTCAACTGATTTTAAAAATTTAAATGCCATTTGATGAAGTTCAGGCCTTGGTTTGTTTTGCACGTATTTTCTCGACATTTATAGTCATTCTGAATCTTTTGGTACTAATATTAAAAACTGTCTGTGGGTGTATCGATACTTAAACTTTCACTGACGTTTTCTAAAAAACGATTGAATTGTTTTAAAAAATTTAAAAGCCATTCGATTGAGAACACGCGTTGGTTTGTTTTGCACGTATTTTCTCGACGTTTAAAGTCATTCTGAATCTTTTGCTACCAAAATTGATAAGAATAAGTCTTGGTGTTACAATTTGACCTGTTGTTGGCTGTTTTCTAAAAAACAACTAAACCGCTTTCAAAAATTTAAAAGCCATTCGATAAAAGACACGTGTTGGTTTATTTTGTATGTGTTTTTTCAACGTTTATAGTCATTCTGAATCTTTTGGCACTAATATTGATTACATTTCGAGGGTGTGCTCGAAATTTGACCTGTCGTTGACGTTTTCTCAAAAGCGATTAAACATATTTTGGAAATTTAAAAGCCAATCGATGAAAGACAAGTGTTGATTCATTTTGTACGTATTGTCTTGACGTTTATAGTGATTCTGAATCTTTTGGCACTAATATTGATTGCAATTTGAGGATGTGCTCGAATATTTGACCTGTCGTTGATATTTTCTCAAAAACGGTTGAACCGATTTCAAAAATTTAAAAGCCATCTATTTGACGACATGCATTGTTTTGTTTTGCACATGTTTTCTCGACGTTTATAGTCATTATGAATATTTTGGCATTAAAACTTGCGAAAGTAAGTCTGTGTATCAAAATTTGACCTGTCGTCGAAGTTTTCTCAAAAAGGGTTGAACCGATTTCAAAAATTTAAAAGCTATTTGATGAAGAACACCCATTGGTTTGTTTTGTTCATATCTTCTTGACGTTTTTAGTCATTCTGAATCTTTTGCTATCAAAATTGATAATAGTAAGTCTGGGTGTTGCAATTTGACTTGTCGTCGACGTTATCCCAAAAACGGTTGAACCGATTTCAAAAATTTAAAAGCTAATCGATCAAGAATACCCATTGGTTTGTTTTGTACGTGTTCTCTCGACCTTTATAGCGATTCTGAATCCTTTGACACTAATATTGTATTGGTTACATTTTGTGGGCGTGCTCGAATACTTAAACTGTCGTTGACTTTTTCTGAAAAACGAGTGAACCGATTTCAAATTTTTAAAAGCGATTTGATGAAGGGCACGCCTTGGTTTGTTTTGTTTGTATCTCCTTGACGTTTAAAGTCATTCTGAATCCTTTGGCACTAATATTATAAACAGTTTGTGGGTGAGTCATTATTTGACCTGTCGTCGACGTTTTCTCAAAAACTGCTGAACCGATTTTGAAAATGTAAAAGCCATTCGATAAAGCTCGATAAGGACTAGCATTTCTTAATTTTGCGATCATGCAAGCCGTTTATTTTTATTTAACGGCGAAACGCAAAATTTTGCTTGTAAAACATTAAACATTATATAACTTTTTCAGCAGAAATTTTTCAGTGCTGTTTTCAATGTTTTTTAATCAAAAATAAGTAGTGAATAGATTTTATTGAAATTTTTATATATATCTTAGTGATACTTCAGGAACAATATTAAAATTTAATATATATAATTCAGTTGGAAAAAGCACTAAAAATTATTAAATATTGACCTAGAAACGTTTTATTCTTCGCCTTGAGACTTATATACATATATGTTAGGTTGGTTGCATAGTTTCTAGTTAAATATTTTTATAAATCTACATATATATATATATATATATATATATATATATATGTATATATGTATATATATATGTATATATAAACTAGACTGCCCGGCCACGCTTTGCTGTGGCTCTTATTAAAATCCACTGAATATATTTTATTTAATTTTTTTATATTGACAAATTGTTCAAACATATTTAATTTATTTGCACTTTATTTCATATTTTTGTCTAAAAAATCATTTCTATAACTCTTTTTGAATTTTTGTTTGCATAGTAATTATTATAATAGTAATTATTAATTATTTTTTTATAATTTTTTGCCTAAACTTTTTTTAATATTGAATTGACAATAACTTTTGAACGGTTTGTCTAAATTAAATGAAATATTTGACAAATTTGTATAAAATCTATTATAATTTGTTCTAATATTATAACGCCATACAGCAACTTGGTATACTTTAAAATCGTTTTGAAAAATTACCTATTAAAATGAATGCTCCCAAAAGCATAAATGCCCAAGCTTACTTGGTTTCTAGCGCATTTATTTATTATATTTCTAGTTTAGTAAGTTTTAAACCGTTTGTCTAATATAAATGAAATATTTGGTGAATTTGTACAAAATTGTGTAATTTATAAATTTGTTTAACATCATAAGACCCTACAGCAACTCGGTGTACTTTAAAATATTAAAATACTCCTTGAACGTGTTAATTTTTGCAAAAACGCACTTTGGTTTTATATATTGCATAACATCAAAGCTATTCCGTTAATATATATGGTGTATTCGGGAAATTTGTTTAAAGATAAATGATTTAAAATATTGTCTAACATTATAAAGTTCTACAGCAACTCGGTATACTTTAAAATCGCAATATGAAACCTCGTATTTAAATTGCGACACTCAAAATGTTGTATCGATAAGAATCCATTCATTTTAACGTGACAAGTATTTTGTTATCAGTGTAACTATACACCTGTTATTAACATATATATATATATATATATATATATATATATTTATTTATTTATTAGTATATATCTGATAAACGAATCGCAAAACGCTTGCGCATTTTCCTTGAAATTTTCAGTCGTTTTGTGTACGTAACCTGATTATAATATATATTATATATATTATATTCAGGACAAAATTTGATAAAAAGAAGTATAAAAATTATATTTCAATAATTAATTATACAAATTTCTCAAAAAATTAAATGAAAATTTTAATTACTGATGTGTAAAATCATATTTAAAATGCTAAAGTGTATATTGAGGTGATTTTTTATTACAACCTGCGTATACAATTTATTAAAAAAAATATATAATAGTTTTTCGTTTAAAAAATATTAATAATGTTATCAACATTAAAAAAAATATTTTAAAAAATATTAATAATGTTATATTAAAAAAATATATATAAAATTTAAAGATACTTGTAACGATTTTATGATGACTAAATTTTAATTAAGAATTAAATTTATATATTGTTATTTAAAAAGTTTATTTTAAATAGGTTTGTGGTAGTGGCCTAATGAAAATTGTTTTTACTAATTTAATAAAACTTTAAACAAAAAGTTTATTATTGTGAACAAATTTTAGGCTTAACAGCAAAAATGACATGAAGTCTTTGTCATTTTTTGAAATTTTTGCTGTATTGTTATTATATGGGACTATTATTTTATATCTTTTCTATAAGTGGAGACTTTTTAGAAATTCTAGATTGATTTTACATCGTATGTTCTGTAAGTAGATAATTTAGAAAATTATTCTAAATATTTATCAAACTAAATAAAAAAAAATAAATAACAAAGATTAATTGACATAATTTCTACTTTCTTCAAAATTTAAAATAAATAGTTCATTCATATAATTATTAATAAAATAAATAATTTTACAATATTTTATGAAGTACATATAAATGCTGTAAGTCTCATTTGTTCATAAATTTAAAGTTGAGAAAAAAATAGTTTTTAAAATCGAATGAGACAAAATTCTTCGTCTACTATTTGTTTAAAAAAAAAACAAGAAGTGTCAGGAATTTTTTTCCAGACCAAGTACTATACACCACTAGTTTATCAACATACAATAAAACCCCGTTAAGACGATTTCCTAGAGACCAGACCAAAAACGCTCCTCGTGCAAAAAAGCGTTTTAGGTGTGATAGAGTCTAAATTTGCTTTACAAAGTGGCGTATTAAGCGGGTAATAGTACCAGGTAAAATTGTATTAAAGGGGTTTTACTATATTTTTAATAAAATTGTTCATTATTATTATTATTATACAGTAAAACCCCTTTAAGACGATCTCCTAGAAACCAGACCAAAAACGCGCCTCGTGCGAAAAAGCGTTTTAGGTGT